CTGAATGATTAATGAGGACAATATGGACCCTGGCAGAATGTGCTGCTGCCGAGATACGAGATATGTGTGTTATAAGAAACACATCACTGACATCTTGCTCACATCAGATGCGTTCACTCATTTCTTTATTAATTATGTAGAACTGCTTGTTTTCCAACAAGGTCACATGACAAGTATGGGTGGCTTTAGTTTGTGTGACAATAGGATGAGTTTTCTGGCCGACATTTGATGCTCTTACCTGTTGTTTAGCTATTTGGCTTTTTCTTGGCATGATATAATCAAGTTCAGACCATATACTTTCCTTGGGAGTGTTAAATGATTGCAGATGGATGGGCAGGTTTTTGTTTGTTTATTGTTGCTTTGTTTTTTTTGTTTTTTTTGGCTGTCCCCGCCGCAACGCGGAATGGGGGACTATATATTCAGCGGCGTCCGTACGTACGTACGTCCCGATTCTTGTTAACGCGATATCTCAGGAACTGTTGGACCCAATGTCATCAAATGTGGTGACAGACTACATTGAGGGATTACGCAGACACCAGTCAATTTGGCTGACCTTGACCTTATCTTCAAGGTCACCACGACACTGACCACTTTTCAAAATCTTGTTAATGACATATCTCATGAACTCTCATATCTCATGAACAGTCATACCCAATGTCTTCAAATTTGGTGACAGCCTAAATTGGGGGGATTACCCAGACACCATTCATTTTGGGTGACCTTGACCTTATTTTCAAGGTCATCAAAGCAAGTTTGACTTAGACTGAAATTGGTGGTAGTACTCTTTTCCAGAGCGAAACTCCAAAACCGTTCTATGTTTCTTCACCAAACTTGGCACATAGATAGATCTGGTGGTCTACTGGTGCCTTTTGGTAGTTTTTGATTTCTGAATAAACTATTTTTTTGCGTTTCCATGGCAACAAATATTGTTTTAGACTGAAATTGGTGGTAGTACTCTTTTCCGGAGCAGAACTTTAAAACTGTTCACTGTTTCATCACCATATTTCATACATAGGTAGGTCTAGCGGTGAACTGGTGCCTTTTGGTAGTTTTGGATTTCTGAATAAAATATTATTATTTTTTGGTATTTCCATGGCAACAATTTTGGCTTCAACTGAATTTGGTGGTAAGACTCCTTTCTGGAGCAGAACGTTGAAACTTTTCAGTACTCTCCTTCCACTTAGCTATATACACGCCAACATTTGACATAGTCATAACTCGTAGACATATTCATTAAGAGTATTTTGCCATTGCGGGGGATATTGATGACTTTGTCTTCTTGTTACATTTGGAAGTGATCACATAATTGAATATTAAAAATGACACCCCAGAGATTTTACTTGCAATTAAAATGATTTTATTGAGATAAGATTTGCTTTTGATATTAAGAGAGCCATACCAGCATTGAATTGAAAAGATTAAAGTACTTTCAACAAGACAACAATAAAACAACAGCATCATCTTTTTGCTTATGTTAAAAGATCTCGGTTTGCGCATAAAATGGATTGGGTTGGGTTTGGGGTTAACAAATTCTTGGATCCGCATATAAATTGCTACTAGTGTCGTCATTGGGGATATGATTCCTGGTGTCAACCATTGTAATTCTCTAGTGATGACTACAAGGATGATATCAGGATTGGTTTCTGCAATGATGATATCACTGCTGGTATCAGTTTTGTTAATGTCACCTCTTATGTCTACAATTGTGATTGTAAGTCTGGAGTCTACCGTGGTGATAGGGGCGGTGGGAAGACCTGTTGGTTGAAGTGTTTGCTCATAACATCAAAGGCCCAGTTTGTTTCTCCACAATGGTACAATGGCAAGGGACATGAAGTAAAAAATGATGATATCACTGCAGGTGTCCACAATGATGATATCACTGCAGGTGTCCACAATGATGATATCACTGCTGGTGTATACAATGATGATATCCCTGCGGGTGTAAAAAATGATGATATCACTGCAGGTGTCTCCAATGATAACATCACTGCTGGTGTCTTAAATGACAATATCACTGTAGGTGTCTACAACAATGATATCACTGCAGGGGTCTCAAATGATGTCACTGCTGGTGTCTACAATATAGACATCACTGTAGTTGTCTACAATGATGATATCACTGCATGTGTCTCCAATGATGATATCACTGTAGTTGTCTCAAATGATGATATCACTGCAGGTGTCTCCAATGATGATATCACTGTAGTTGTCTACAATGATGATATCACTGTAGGTGTCTACAACAATGATATCACTGCTGGTATCTATAATGATGATATCACTGCTGGTATCTACAATGATGATATCACTGCTGGTATCTACAATGATGATATCACTGCTGGTATCTACAATGATGATATCACTACTGATGTCTATGATGATGATGTCACTGCGGGGGTCTGTATGGTGATATCACTGAGTTGGTGGTTAAGTGCCATGATGCCAGTGCCTCTATGACTGATGACACAGACTGGGAATGCTGTGAGAGCTCTGTGGCAGCTATCGGCATCAGTATCACCAAGTATCGGATCAATACTAGAACTGACGTGTTTCACTTGGGGGAATCTGTGGGGGAGTAGCTCATATTAACCGCATACCCCACAAGTCATGAGTACTGTTAGATTTTCTTGGTCAGTTGAAGTAGGTCGTAAACACTGTTGTTGGCTGCTGCTGTTTAAGTTTACCTACTGGAATTGAAGTATATTTAAAAACGTAGTGTCAGTTTAAATTTTCAAGAAATACATGTGTACATTCATGTGCATGTTTTCAATCAAATTTTCAACCTTTCTTTGAGTTGTGTTAACTGTGAATTACAACATGTAGATCATTTTCCATAGCTGGTGTGCAGTCAGCATCAGTTAATAATTGATGACATTTGGAAATAAGGAAGTCACTGTTTTCTCATATTCAGGGGGCGATGGGGTAGCCTAGTGGTTAAAGCGTTGGATCGTCTTGCTGAAGACCCGGGATCGATTCCCACATTGGCACCGGTACAATGTGTGAAGCCCATTTCTGATGTCCTCCGCCGTGATATTGCTGGAATATTGCTAAAATTGGCATTAAACCATACTCACTCACTCACTCTCATATTCAGATGTATGTTACCATTAAAGTGCAATATTATAAAACATATTTATCTTCATTGGTCCAGTAAGTTCAGGCCACCCAGAACAGCTAAAATAATATTTAGGATCATAATGATCTGAATCTGCTGCAGTTTTTTCCCTAGAATGCTGTTGACTGAATATCAGACTTATAACAGAGCAGCCATATACATTCCTGTTTCCAATAAAAACTGGTAAAAAATCAGCTGAGTGGAACATTGTTGTTTTCACAAATAGTAATCAAATGAAATGGAGCATGAGGCTGAGTTTGACTCGTGCGGTTTGAGTCTGGTTGTGAGTGTTCTCAAGCTGCAATGAGATGATGTGCTGGATGTTGGAACTTAGCGGGACAAGAGACTGGGATACAATCAGGACAGCCGAATAATTGTTTTTATGTGTTGCTGTAGTCATGTCTATACCCAGATTGGTTTCAACATTTATCTATAAAAATGTCATTGACACTAGGTAAATACTGTATTTACTCTAATAAGCGCTGTTAGTGAAGCAGCTCACTAACAATTTGGTAATTAGACCCAGTGAGCAAAAGCACCGGGTCTGGAACTCCTTTGAAGAAATAATCGCCTGGACACCTATTAGAGGAAATACAGTATGTTTCTTCTGCATCAAGACGCAAACTAATGGAGTTTCATTGCATTCTCTTATTTGGACTGACTAATTCAGGAACATTTGTATTGAGACTTGTGATTGACTGGATAACATGGCAGGCAAATACACCCACTGTTCAACATCAACTACGTGTTCTTCCAACAATTAAGTTCAGGTCATGTGCTCAAAACGGCCTTTACTTTTCGTTCATGCTTCTTGAGTAAACCCTACAATTTCTGTTTTCTTTGATTTACTGTTAATGTCATAATAGCAGGTATAATTACCAATAGGACCAAGCAGTTTTTCCTCTGTAAGTGCTTATACATGCGGTTTACTATGTCAAGGACGGTACACCCATCTTACAGAGTGAGTGAGTGAGTGGGTTTTAGTTTTACGCGGCTTTTAGCAATATTCCAGCAATATCATAGTGGTGGAAACCAGAAATGGTTTTCAAACATTGTACCCATTTTGGAAATCGAACTCTGGTCTATAGCGTGATGAGTGAACGCATTATCCAATACGCTACCCCACTGCCCAGTTACAGCATGAATTGCCTCTACATGTAGAAACAGTGTTCAAAGGAACAGTCTATTATAAGCTGATTGATTGATCTTTGTTGTCTTAATCAATGGGAAATGGTTGTCATGCATGTTATCGGTGCCGTGTTATTCCAGTTAACCAATCAAACTTGAGCCTTTTCTGGAACAGGGGGTTAAACAAATAACTGATATGATATGTGGAGAAACAACATAATGGCAGGAATAAATGTCTTACATTTTATTAATGTTAAAATGTTACAAAGTCATCTGACACTGAAAATGTTTCTTTGTATAGCTTAAGTTTAATGTGATTTTATTCATTTATGTGGACATTGATGGATGCATTCTTTGAAAAAGACAGGTGCTTCATACATATAAATTAGGTCAGATGTGATTGCAATATGATTATTGTTTTTGTTCTCTTATTAGTGAATGGTATGAAGCATTCGATGTGATCTAGGTTCAATCACACTTACCCTTGTAACCATGGTAACTGGTATGATGTGGCACTCATGATTGCAGGTTACTCAGGCTTGTAACCATGGTAACTGATTTGATGTTGCAGGTGGTGTACCACATGATGGTCACACAACCTTGTTGTAACCATGGTAACTGGTTTAATGTTGCAGGTGGTGTACCACATGATGGTCACTCAACCTTGTAACCATGGTAACTGGATTGATGTTGCAGGTGGTGTACCACATGATGGTCACTCAACCTTGTAACCATGGTAACTGGTTTGATGTTGCAGGTGGTGTACCACATGATGGAGGGGTACACAGAGATTGGGGAGTCCAACATCCAGATCATTGACTACTTCTCCGGGATTGGATCCTTTTTCATCATAGCCCTCGGAGGGACGCTCATCGGGATCATCTATGGCCTGATTGGTGGATTCATCACCAAGCACACAGGCCATGTCAAGGTCATCGAGCCTCTGTTTGTCTTCATCCTGGGATATCTTGCCTATCTTAGTGCAGAGATGCTTCACTGGTCAGGAATCTTAGCGTAGGTGTTTTATTAGATAACCAAAGAGAACCTTGTTTTTGTGTTGTTGTTTAACTCTACATAACTCCATTAAACAGGAGGTTTTGAATTGAAAAAACAAACTGATAGTTGATAGAGTCTCTAGCTATGCTGAGGTTTATTACTGAATTTTTCTGACTTTTCTGAGATACATTTTGGTGTCAATCAAGCTGTGTGCGAAATAGTTTCCAAATGTTACTAGCCAGTCGGGCTAGCTATGCCTGAAGTTACTAGCCCACAAAATAATTCACAACCCCGAAATTTGAATGCATACATGTGTATTATAACTTAACAAGTCGGAAAGAGTGATATATTTACAAAATTACCCCATGAAAATTCACTAGCCCTTCGAGCCAGTGAGTGTGGAAATTTACTGGCCCGACTGGATTTTTACTAGTTACGGGCTAGCGGGCCAGTGACTATTTCGCACACTGCAATCAAGGTCACTACATGAGATTAAGTGAATGAAAAGCTTGTCAACAAAATGAATTGAGTTTTTGTGATAGGATAGGAATTTGTATGTATAGTCTGACAAGGTCACCACAGGTCTTATAATGAACCATGGTTCATGGAAAAAAACAGTGTTGTGTCTATTGTTTCTATAAACTATATAACTATTATCTGAATCAGCACACTTTTGCTATCTTAACTCGTCACTATGTTGAATTACTGAACTGATTACTTTCGCCTGTTTAACACCAGTCTTAGCCAACTGGAGACACTGTGAATTGTTTTCAGTTATTCTTGTAACTTTGTTTCAGTTTGACATTCGGCGGGATCACAATGAGACACTACGTGGAAGCGAACATGTCGAAGCAGTCTGTTGCCACTGTCAAGTACTTCTTGAAGATGCTTGCCAACATCAGTGAGACCATCATCTTCATGTTCCTGGGACTCTCCACCGTCATCGACGACCACGACTGGCAACTCGACTTTATCTTCTTCTCCATCCTCTTCTGCCTGGTCTTTCGTGTCACAGGTCAGTGATACCTCAGGCATAAACTTGGTTTGGGGTAGAATATCTGATTGTGATCACTGGTGGGGTAGAAGGGGTTAAAATATCTGCCTGCAGTGGCAGATGCAGGATTTTGGAGAAGGGGTGTGCACATAAATCATGATGTCCAAAGATCAGGGGAAATGCTCTGCAGGGAAAAATTTTCAGGGGAGAAGAGGGGTGCGTGCCTCCACACCCCCTTCTGGATCTGCCTCTGGCCTGTGATCTGTATGTACAGAAGGGGTTAAAATAACTGCCTGTGATTAGTGTGGTGGAGCAGAAGGGGTTAATATATCTGCTTGTGATCGGTGAGGTGGGGCAGAAGGGGTTAATATAACTGCCTGTGATTGGTGTGGTGGGGCATAAGGGGTTAATATATCTGCTTGTGATTGGTGTGGTGGGGCATAAGGGGTACATATATCTGCCTGTGATTGGTGTGGTGGGGCAGAAGGGGTTAATATATCTGCCTGTGATTGGTGTAGTAGGGCATAAGGGGTACATATATCTGCCTGTGATTGGTGTAGTAGGGCAGAAGGGGTTAATATATCTGCCTGTGATTGGTGTGGTGGGGCAGAAGGTTAAAATACCTGCCTGTCATCTGTGTGTTGCCGCTGAAGGGGTTAAAATACCTGCCTGTGATCAGTGGTTTGCTGCACACTTAGTTATCATCAGGTGACATTGCATGGACATCGTCGACTGCTTCATGGACAACATTCACCCGTTCCTTTACTCATCCTGTGGAATTATGTCCCTTTGTTGATCCAGGATGCTCTGGATGTTGGTTAAAATACCAGGTTCACCCTGTTCGATATCTTCAGTCTACCTCAGTTGTGGCTTTCCTCCAACAGACATTCAGCTGAAATATTTGCTTTTCCTTTCTGCAGGCATCGTGATGCTGTCAGCCGTTGTCAATCGAACGCGTCTTATCAAGTTGTCAAAGATTGACCAGTTCATTATGTCGTATGGTGGCCTGCGTGGGGGTATCGCCTTTTGCTTGGCCTTGCTTCTGAATGAGGAAGTCGTCACGGAGAAGAGGATGTTTGTCACCACCACCATCATTGTAGTCTTCTTCACAGTCTTCCTGCAGGTACGTCACAGAGTAACACAACACAAACATAACTTAACATGATGTAAACACAGAGTAACCTAGTCTGTCATACAGACCCGGAAGCATATATATATCCCAGAAAGCCCACGCAAGTCTAGAAAATGTGGCAAGTCTAGAAAGTCTCAGGGCTCCTTTTCATTATATGTTTTACATTCACAGAGTATCATGACACATTTCTAGAAGTAACATGACACATTCATAGAGTAACATGACACATTAACAGAGTAACAAGGCACATTCACAGGTAACATGACACATTCACAGAGTATCATGATGGATTCACAGAGTATCTTGACACATTCACAGAGTATCATGACACATTCACAGAGTAACATGACACATTCACAGAGTAACATGACACATTCACAGAGTAACTTGACACATTCACAGAGTAATATGACACAGAGTAACATGACACATTCACAGAGTATCATGACACATTCACAGAGTATCGTCATGACACATTCACAGAGTAACATGACACATTCATCACATAACATGGCGTAAATAAACATGTCTTTTAATAACTGACAAGAAACCCAGGTCAAGTAAACAGTTAAAACATAAACTTTTTGTTATTCACAATTTCTTCCAAGTCACATGCCGTGTTTGCCGCCATGTTTGTTTATGAGGAACAGGGGCAGATAACATTAAATCAAAGTGAATGAATCTGGCACTTCCTGTATTTTGCACTGCGCATTTATCAATGGAAGTCAATCACTAAACTATCGGCCATTGATTAATTGCTATCGGAGTCTCAACAATTGCAATTCATCGATAGTTCAATGCATCGTTACAGCACTACCAAATGCAGAGTAACATGACACATTCACACAGTACAGAGTAACCCAACATTAACGTAACATAGCATAGCATAGCATGACACATTCACAGCGTAAATACAAGAGTAACATGACACATTCACAGAGTAACCCAACACAAACGTAACATAGCATGGCGTAAATACAGAGTAACATGACACATTCACAGAGTAACACAACAGAAACAGAAGGTAATATGACATAAACTCACATAACATGATTCTGTTACAGGCACTGGTCCTTTTCATTGAATCACTGTTTTCAACTTAACTAGAGTGTGAGCATTTATGAAGCTATACTATTCTGCTTTGCCCTATGAGTATCTCTCTGTCAGAGACCAGTTGTGCATATTTTGAATGCTATGAACTGAAAGAACATGCTTAATATCCAAACCTACTTTATTGTATGTCAATATCTTTTTGTTTGTTTTTATTGCAAATCAGAAAGGTCACTTTGTTATTCATTGTTTTTTGTAATATTGTCTTTCGTGGATATGGATACAGTTGTGGATCATTTCACATCTGACAAAATCCAAAGTTATGAAAGTTACTTACAAACACAAATACTTTGGATAAATATTAAGTGACAAGGGACAACTATTGTTGACGCAGATTATCCATACTATACAAATATTGTTAGCTTTGTGAAGCGTTATGTGAAACACTATTAAAAACATGTGAAAAATGCTGAGATCAGAATACATTCTCAACTTCAGATGTCTATTCCTATTATACCCTGAAGCAACAAACTTAATATATATGTTAGAAGGGAGACATGCCTCAATGTTGGACAAGGATGAGTTTAATGTTTTCAATTTAGTACTCGCACCTGGAAGATTCTGCAGTGTGATATTTTTATGGCAATATTACACTAGTGTAATACTGATAGACGTATGACGTCATAATGGGTTACAGTTATGATGTCACAATGCTGATACCTCTGTCACAGTGGTATTAGACCTTGCTTGACTTGCGGAAAGCTGAGAGTCATCACACAGTGGGCAGTTTCTATCAATTTATGTGGGAGAGTAATAAACAGAATACTAAACTCAATTCAGTTAAATACCATTTTTATTAAACTCATTTTCACTCATTTGATACTAAATCATTAACTCATTTAATAAAAATGGTATTACACGGAAGCGAGGTTAGTATCCTCTATATGTCTATATAATATGCCAACTTTCTTTTGCAGGGAATCACAATCAAACCTGTGGTTAATGCTCTTAAGATCGAGAGGGCAAAGGAGATTGACCCGACCATGAATGAAAGGATCCATGAGCGTGTAAGTAGGGGGAGAGAAAGGGAGACAGGCCACTGCACCAGTGATAATTATGATCAAGAGATGTGTGAAAGGGAGGTAACCCCTCTTGTCCTAATATCATGAGAAACATTAAGCATCAGTAAAATCACTCGTTATTGAGTTATTTTCTTTCTTCATGAGGGACACTAATTATTAATAGGAAGGAAATGTGGTGCAGACATAAAATGCATGGGTTTGGAACATGTACAGAAGAGGAGAGTTCTGAAATGAAAAGGCTTTTTGTTGAAGGAAATTGACGACTAAACATTATTTTGCCGCATTCATGACACCAGTACATTTTTTCATTTGATTACAATATCTAATGTCAATGGGGACAATGACCAAATATCAAATGTATATTTGTACACATATCCAATATGTTTCATCATGAAGCTTTGATTGACATTTCAGTTTATTGACCACCTGATGGCTGGGATTGAAGACGTGGTGGGTCGGACAGGACACAACTCGTTACGAGATAAGTAAGTGATATTGGGGTTATGTTTGTTGAATATTAATAAATAATTATTGTAATACTTTATTGCCCGAAAAAGGAATTCTTTTTACAACAGTGAGACATACAGCATGGTTAAAACAAGTAAAGCAAAGAACAACGATCACCTTAAACACACAAACAAATTAACAGAATGCGAAGGATCACCAGTGTATACTGTAAGAGGCTAGTAGACAAATACATATAAACAATGTGCCTAGGTCTGACATTCATTTCAAAGTTTAGTGCTATAAAGATGTTTGGGACCTTTTTGTACGAAGTTTAGGAACGAGGATTCTACGTCCAGATGGTGAAAGCGTAAAACAAGAATGTAAATCATGAGATGGGTCGAATAGAAGTTTGTTCGCAGACATAAAACAAGATTCTCATACATATAACAAATGGGGTTAAAATTATAAAGTTTGCAAACTGACATGAAATTGGATTTGTTTATACAGCTTGTTCTTTGCTTGATATTTTGTGTTAAGAACCGAGCTATGTATAGATATATTGTAATTTTGAAAAAGATAAATACATTGTCTTTGGAAAAATTCAGTTAGATATTGTATACTTATCATTTGCATATATGTAATTTGTCTTGGAATATGCATATACATATTTTGTTTGCAACATATTTGGATATGTTTAGATGCATTTGGTGTTTAAGAAAATGTCAAATATATATTGTGTTTAAAAGATGTTCAGTTTAATATTGTGTTTTTGAAAATGTGCACCTGGATATCATGTGAGGGACTAGTGGTTAAAACGTTCGCTTGTCACGCCGAAGACCCGGGTTCAATTCCCCACATGGGTACAATGTGTGAAGCCCATTTCTGGTGTCCCCTGCCATGATATTGCTGGAATATTGCTAAAAGCCACGTAAAACTAAACTCATTCACTAACTTACTGTTGTGTCCCCAGGTTTGAGCACTACAACACCAAGTACATCAAACCCTTGCTGCTGAGGGAGAAACCAAAAACCAGAGAGACCAAAATCTTCCAGGTGTTCACTAGACTGAATCTACGTGATGCCATGGACCACATCGAGACTCATGGCAACTTCTCACCCGTCTCCATCCCTGCTGAACCATCCCTTGCCAAGGTCATCCGCTCTTACTCTGTCGCAGAGTCTGTCAAGTGAGTTGCCATGGTTATCAAAGATCATGAAATGTGTCCTTACTGTTGATTAAGATTTACAAAAACTTTACAAAGTGCATGTGCATTCCTTGGCACTGGATAAACAAGTTTTTCAGTATCATTGTGTCTTTGAAAATATCCCTACTCTCTGCTTTCCATCAAGACCTATTTTTGCCAATTCCTCACCCATTTCATCATTCTCACTCACTCGCTCGCTCGCTCGCACATTCGCTCACTCACTCGCTCATTCACTCACTCACACCCACCTACCCACTGGGCAGTGGGGTAGCCTAGTGGTTAAAGCGTTTGCTCATCACGCCGAAGACCTGGGTTCGATTCTTCCGCCATGATATCGCTGGAATATTGCTTAAAGCAGCATAAAACCAAACTCACTCACTCACAATTTCAGCACTGTGGACAGTGACCCCCCGGTGGACTCCAGCAAGACCGTGCTAGACATGCAGTCAGTGGATGCTGTCTACAACGAGAAGCTAGCAGATGCTGGACACATTCACCATGTGCTGGAAGATGCGATGTTTAGGACGCGGAAGACGGTCAGTCAGTCATTTACACCATCTGTTTTGTTCATCCTGCACTCATCATTCTGGATAGTTCAGAGGTTAGGTTGGCGTTACTTGATATTCTAATTCAACTTAGTATGTAACACGAGTTCTGATTGGTCAATGCTATAAATTTCCGACCGTATAATCAGCATATACGGTCGCAATTTGAAAACCGATTCACCGAAACCTTTGAATGTATCCCTACACTATTTGGGTAACGCTGTTTCACAGGACATTGTCATTTGCAGAAGCCATTGGTCAATTAACTCCCTTATCCAGCTAAAATGGGTGGAATTTGTGTTAAAAAAGACAATACAGTATCATAAATTTAATTTTAAGTTCAAACAACTTACTCGTAACGGGCTGTTGACCCAACACTGTTAGATCATGAAACAAGCTTTATGACGTCATTATGGAGCGTGACGTCACCTGCTATGACGTCATTTGACAACAGAACTGATAATGGCCCGTAGTTGAGGAATCAGCGGGCCGCTCATTTCTGTAACTAGAGGGCGGTTTCATCATAATACCGTCCATTTTATCTATAATACTATGATCTATTCATCATTGTCAAATTTAATCTGTGTGCACATAATAAACGTGTGTAGTTTGAAAAGGGAACTACTTTTTCTGGCGATGGTGTAAGTTGAAGGTGTGATATCATTAACCTTTGACCTAGAGGAACTTTGACCTGGTTTAAATAATGAATTTCTTTCACTAAAAAACAGCGTAAAACGAGTTGAATTAGAATGGGGATAACTGTACTGTGTTTGATGAATTGGGGGATGTATACGGTGGTTATATAGATCGCAAATTTGGCGTTACGCTGGCTTCACGATATACGTCGCTAAATATGCGGCTATATAACCACCGGTATATGTCCCCAATTCGTCAAACACAGTACAGTTATCCCCTAAGCAGTGTTCAAAATGGGTCCCTGTTTTTGCAAATAATTTTAAAATCGGAAGTTTGTAGTCCCAAAATGCATCAGCCATGAGCCACACCAACTTCTTGTTTTCCTTTTTACATATTCTTGCTTGGGCTTGGTCTCTTTTTTCAGACCCGTGAATGTCCGGGTAAGAGGGTCTTCATCAACCCATGCTTGTTGTAAGATGCCACTTGCAGGATTGGGTGGTCAGAGTTGGTTTACGCATGTCATCCCAATTGTGTAGGTCAATGCACATGATGCCGATCACTGGATTGTCTTATTTCGATTAATTACAGACCGCCATTATATAGCTGCAGTATTGCTGAGTGCAATGTTATACAACAAACAAACAAATAAAATGTCTATTTTTTGGAGATTCAGCTTGAGGCTGATGGGTCAAGTAACTCTCATGAGGGAATTCTGGTTTAGAATGGGTACTCATCCATTATCATAAAAGACAGCAAATCACTTGGATGTCAGGCTTGTTGACTTTGTGTTCTAATACAGTATCAGACAGAGCTCATACAAACTACCTCAGCCGTGTCTTGTAATGACTTGTTTCCATTTCATCATCATATTGCTGGAATATTGTGGAATATGACATTAAACAACGAACAATAGAGGCCGTGGAAACGAGTGTCACAGAGTACGTGATCTTGTGCAACTGCACCATATTGCTCAGACAATGAAAAGCATTAATTTTTCCAGGCCTCATGCAGTTGAATTATAAGTATCCTGACAAATGACCATGTATTTCTGCTCCAGCATAATTACCAAGTCACATGCTGACTTTCAAACAATCAGTCTCAATATTTAAAAAAAAAAACCAAAACCTTGTAAATCATGTATACATGACAAGACTGCATAGTCAAGACATGAAGATGCTTGTGTTCACAAACCAGGCTTGTTGATTTATCATCAAGTCGAAGAGTCCTTGAGGGAATTATATGTTCCCCACACTTAACAGTTTATACAGTCATATACCATAGCTGTAGACACCAAGACGTGAGCCCGTGAGTGAAGCCAAACAATGGTGCCTTAACCACCAGGTGCGATTGCTACGTCATCCAAATAAGCTGAGAGTAAGGTTGCTTTAATGTCTCTTTCAATATTTTGAAATCTGATTCACTCCGACTACCTGCCCTTGCTAATAAAACCCAGGTAATAGTATTTTTAGCGATATAATGTAGTCATTATTCTCAGATATCTTCCGTTAAGGACAATTTATGTTCTTGTCAGACTGGTTTAGGTCAGCTTGTCCTCAGCTGTGTGACGTAAGGACAATGACTCCTCCAGCCAACCTGTACTATTACCTCAATCTAACCATGATATAGGAGTTACCACCCTTCCCACTCAGGTATTTCTGTTTTAACCAAGCCACTTTCTCGAGACGCTATCATGCATGTAGTTAACTACACTCATAAACAACCTTCAACCAGCTGATTGTGAGATTACATCAAACACGAAGCAGCCAATAAACCAAAAGACTTCTTGCTACCCAGGACAGAGAAACTGCAGTATCTAGCTGATCCAGTGGGTGTGTACTGTCATGTCATCTAGCTGATCCAGTGGTTGTGTACTGTCATGTCATCTAGCTGATCCAGTGTGTGTGTGTACTGTCATGTCATCTAGCTGATCCAGTGTGTGTGTGTGTGCTGTCATGTCATCTAGCTGATCCAGTGGGGGGGTGTCCTGTCATGTCATCTAGCTGATCCAGTCGTGTGTACTGTCATGTCATCTAGCTGATCCAGTCGTGTACTGTCATGTCATCTAGCTGATCCAGTGGGTGTGTCCTGTCATGTCATGTAGCTGATCCAGTGGTTGTGTACTGTCATGTCATCTAGCTGATCCAGTCGTTGTGTGTGCTGTCATGTCATGTAGCTGATCCAGTCGTGTACTGTCATGTCATCTAGCTGATCCAGTGGGTGTGTCCTGTCATGTCATCTAGCTGATCCAGTGGTTGTATACTGTCATGTCATCGAGCTGATCCAGTCGTTGTGTACTGTCATGTCATGTAGCTGATCCAGTGGTTGTGTGTGCTGTCATGTCATGTAGCTGATCCAGTGGTTGTGTGTGCTGTCATGTCATGTAGCTGATCCAGTGGTTGTGTGTACTGTCATGTCATCTAGCTGATCCAGTGGTTGTGTGTGCTGTCATGTAGCTGATCCAGTGGTTGTGTGTGCTGTCATGTCGTAGCTGATCCAGTGGTTGTGTGTGCTGTCATGTCAGCGTAGCTGATCCAGTGGTTGTGTGTGCTGTCATGTCATGTAGCTGATCCAGTGGTTGTGTGTGCTGTCATCGAGCTGATCCATCGATCTGCTGATCCAGTGGTTGTGTGTGCTGTCATGTCATGTCATGTAGCTGTCCAGTGTGTACTGTGTCATGTGCTGATCCATGGTTGGTCATGTCATGTCATGTAGCTGATCCAGTTGTTGTGTGTGCTGTCATGTCATCGAGCTGATCCAGTGGTTGATCCATTGTGCTGTCATGTCATGTAGCTCAGTGGTTGATCCAGTGGTGTGTGTCATGCCATGTAGCTGATCCAGTCTTGTCATCGAGCTGATCCAGTGGTTGTGTGTACTGTCATGCCATCGAGCTGATCCAGTGGTTGTGTGTGCTGTCAGCTGATCATGTAGCTGATGTAGCTGATCCAGTGGTTGTGTGTGCTGTCATGTCATGTAGCTGATCCAGTGGTTGTGTACTGTCATGTCATCGAGCTGATCCAGTGGTTGTGTGTACTGTCATGTCATGTAGCTGATCCAGTGGTTGTGTGTGCTGTCATGTCATGTAGCTGATCCAGTGGTTGCTGTCATGTCATGTAGCTGATCCAGTGGTTGTGTGTGCTGTCATGTCATAGCTGATCCAGTGGTTGTGTGTGTCATGTCATCTGATCCATGGTTGTGTGTGCTGTCATGTCATCGAGCTGATCCAGTGTGCTGTCATGTCATGTACTGTCATGTCATAGCTGATAGCTGATCCAGTGGTTGTGTGCTGTCATGTCTGATCCAGTGGTTGTCATGTAGCATGATCCAGTGGTTGTGTACTGTCATGTCATCGAGCTGATCCAGTGGTTGTGTGTGCTGTCATGTAGCTGATCCAGTGGTTGTGTGTACTGTCATGTCATGTAGCTGATCCAGTGGTTGTGTGTGCTGTCATGTCATGTAGCTGATCCAGTGGTTGTGTGTACTGTCCTGTCATCGAGCTGATCCAGTGGTTTGTGTAGCTGATCCAGCTGATCCAGTGGTTGTGTGTGCTGTCATGTCATCGAGCTGATCCAGTGGCTGTCCAGTGGTGTGCTGTCATCATGTAGCTCGTAGTGGTTGTGTCTGTCATGTCACTGCTGATCCAGTGGTTGTGTGTACTGTCATGTCATCGAAGCTGATCCAGTGGTTGTGTGTATGCCATGTAGCTGATCAGTGGTTGTGTGTGCTGTCTGTCATGTCATCGAGCTGATCCAGTGGTTGTGTGTACTGTCATGTCATCGAGCTGATCCAGTGGTTGTGTGTACTGTCATGCCATGTAGCTGATCCAGTGGTTGTGTGTACTGTCATGCCATCTAGCTGATCCAGTGGTTGTGTGTACTGTCATGCCATGTAGGTGATCCAAAGATTACTTGTGCTGTCATGACACCTAGCTTCGAACTGGGAATCGAACCCACACTCTCATAGTAAGTCACCCTATTCCCAGTGAAGTTAACGATTTGGACAATAGTAGTAAATGTGTGATGAGGTACAATTGCTGTTGAACATAGCATTGTTGAACTGGAGATCGAACCCACACTCTCATAGTATAGTAAGACGATTTGGACATGTGATGAGGTACAATTGCTGTTGAACATAGCATTGTCTGGGAGATAGTAAGACACGTATAGTATACCTGTGTCAAGACATTCAGTTGCTGTTGAACATAGCATTGTCTGGGAGATATAAGACATATATAGTATACCTGTGTCAAGACATTCAGTTGCTGTAAAACATAGCATTGTCTGGGAGATATAAGACACATATAGTATACCTGTGTCAAGACATTCAGTTGCTGTTGAACATAGCATTGTCTGGGAGAT